GGGGCTGTCGGGGGGAGGCACTTTCCGCGAGTGCTGTGCCCTGCCCGCAGAAGGGATGTTTTATTGGAAAAGGGAGGGAGAGCTGCTTTATTTGAGCTGAGCAGGACTTTCCCTTCTTCCCTCTTCTTTCTTTCTTTCTCTGTTTCTTTCCTTTCTCTTTCCTTCTTTTCTTTCTTTCCTTCTTCCTTTCTCTCTATTTATCTCTTTCTCTCTCTCTCCCCCTTTTCTTCTTTCATTCTCTTTCTCCATTCTCTTTCCCCCTCCTTTCCCTCTCTTCTTTCTCTCTTTCTCTATCTTCTTTCTCTCTCCTTTCGCTTTCTCCCTTTTATATTTTTCTTTTTAATCTCTCTTTTTTATCCCTTTTCTACCCTCTTCTCTCTCTTTCTCCCTTTCTCACAAAAGCACAACAATTACCAGCGTTTCTTTGGGGAAAGTGTAACTATCAAAGCACAAACAGTACTTAATGTCTATCGGTTGTAGAGAGAAAGAAAGAGAGCGATTCTTTCTGCCTTCACAGAGGCAAAACTCGCCTTGACCCGCAAGCCAGTTTGTCCGAGCCAGGAATGCGAGAGGAGCCCTGCGCATCGCGCCCGCGGGGGCCAGGGGCCGCCCCCAGGTCTCAAACCCGGCTTGGAAACCCGCAGAAACCAGCGACCCGACGGCCACTGAGCTCGGAGGCAGGACCAAATCCAACCACAAAAACCTTTCTATTTCTGAAACAAGTCGCCCCAGCAAAGCTCGCAGATTTTCCCGTGAAGCCCTAAGGCAAGCCTCCAGTCGATGCAATACAGCCCCTCTGCTTCTCTGCCACTGAGTCCTATAATGTTCAGCAGAATCCTTTTTCACGGCAATTTTTTTCCTTCTCAGCCTTCTCTTTTCTCCTTTCTTTTTTCCCTTTCTGTAACTTTGAAGTCTGTATCTCATCCAGTGGTCCATATCTTTATTTATCCCAAGTCTAAATATATATATATATACACATGATATATATGATATATAAATTGGGGGGGGGGAAGGAATGGAGGGGAACCCCCAAATCCCGACTACTAAAGCCTAATTTAAGACCTGGCCCCTGGAGGCTCCAGCCTCCGGCTCGGGGTCCCCACCGCTTGGCCATGCCCTGCTCCAGCAAGGTGCAAACCACCCCAGCACCGAAGCTGTTAAGGGCCTTTCTGGTTTTTAGGAAATAACACGTGATGCTGAGTTTCGCGTGGGATGGGAGAAGGCTGGGAAATGCTGTGCTTTGAGCCCGGTGAAACTCCTTTGTTACCCAAAAGAGGGAATAAAACTATTTAAAATCAGTGCTACCCTATCAACTATACTTAAAAAAACGCGGGGGGGGGAGGGGCGGAGCTTGTTCCTGATCACCAGTTATTGCTTTTGGTCTGGGTTTTGTTTATATTTTCCCTCCCTCCTGGATGAAAAATGTAGTCATTTGACAGTTTCATCAAAATCCCTGAACTGCAGGAAATTGGTTGGGGGGCGAGGGGGGAGAGAGCTGAGATTGCATGGGAAATAACTGGGATTTGAAAAGCCAGGCTTAAACTCTGGCAGCTTTTGAAACACGTGGAGTATTTAGAGCAGTATGTCTGCCTCTGCTGGCTTGCCGTGTAGGGGAGGGTTTACAAAGCACAGCCTGTGCGTGACAGCGATGAAATAAATTCTCTTAAAAAAAAAAAAAAAAAAGAAAAAGAAAAAGGCGAGCGAGGGGGAGTATCACAATTATAATCCCAGTGTGGAAAAAGGAGGGTAGCCCACACCAAATCCCTCACTGATCATTTCTAGCCGAGGGATGGGGGGCTCCAGCCTGGAAGGCATCTGCATTGCCAAGGAACAAAAAAAGCGGTGCCTTACCTGGACCTCTTCCATCCCTGGGTGTCCGATGCCATGCAGAGAAAGGCTGTCCCCCATGCCGGAGTCAAGGCCATGGTGAGCTGAGTGCAGAAGGACATCTGGCCTCCTTACTGAGTGGTAGTCCCGCCTGGGGTCCAGTCCCGAGAGCTGGGGCAGGGCGGCCCGAGGCTGTGGCAGCAGTGACCCGGTTTCTGATCCCACCTCTTGCCTCTGCCTCTGTCCCCAGGGATGCTGCTGGGGTTGATGCAAGGGGTTTAGGGAGTAGGGGTCATTGACATGGGAGTAAGGGTCCTGGCTTTGGTGGTAAGGAAGAGGCTGGTAGGGGGGTGGGAAATAAGGCGGCTGGAAATCCGAGGATGGGGTGTGAGAGAGCGGAGGAGCGCTGGAGTAGGGTCCCTGGGAGACGGATCCCAGCTGGGACAGCCTGGAACTGTGGCTGGGCACTCCATCATGCCGGTCCTACAAGCGGAATGAAATAAAAACAACAAAAAAAGAGGACCTTTTAGGGGGAAAAAAAAGTAAAAGGAGCACAAACCCACCCCAAAATAAAATAAAATAAAATAAAATAAAAATGTAAATGGTCGTAAACCAGGGTTCAGATGTGCCCCCCCCTTCCCCTGCCGCAGATTAGAGACGTTCCAGGGTTTCGCACCCAGATCGTGTCTATTCCCAATAATTATCAAGAAGGGGGAAGGAGTGTGTGTGTGAGGGAGAAACGCTGAATGTCATAATTAAAAATGTAGGACTGGTGCTCCATATGCCTGTGTGATCTGTGACTTCAGTCCAGTAATGCGATTCCCCCTCCAACAGCCCCCCCAAATAAAACCAAAGGTTAAAAAATAATAATAATAAAAAAAGAACCCCCAAACCACCCATGTCTCCAAACAACCCACCCCTTGTCCCGCCTAAAGTTTCCAAACATCGTGTTTATTCCTTCTGCTGAAGTCCTGAAACTCAAAATCACCAACCTATCTTCACGTGGAAAAGACCAAAAGGAAAGTTGCACTTCTCGGAGGACTCCGAGGTAAGAAGTTGTCCGAGAAAGGACTTTAAAAAAAACAAATCAAAAATCACGGGGGCTCTTTGTATAGAGTCCA